GAGAGCTCCTGAGAACGCAGGCGGAGTCCGCCGCACGCCCATCGGCCCCTCGCGATGGGAAAGGGCAGGTGACCAGACAGGGCGCGGCGCGGCAAGGCAGGAAGGAGGCAAGAAAAGAAAGGGGTCTTACGAGAGAGGACACAGCGACCTCACGCCGCAGCTCACGAAGGCGTACGCGGGCCGCCAGCGACGCACGCCACACCGGAGAGAAGGGCGATGACGCGCGACCTTGCGCGGGCAGCTGTCGCGCGAGTGTCCGCGCAGTCGACCCCGAGTTCCTTCCGTCGCTCAACTGACCGGTCGGGGCGCGACGTGCCAAGATAATTAGGAAAGAAGCGACTGAAATTCGACGCCAGGCCAGCTCAAGCTCAGCCTGGGCCCAGAATTGGTGTATACCCCCGCCAGGTGTGGCCCAGGAAGTGGTCGTGTGTACACAATGACTTACGGAGGTTGGGGGGTGAGATCGAACAGGGAAAATCCTCCTCCAGGAACTCGGTTCCGGTTCCGCGTGCGGGCGAGGCGAAACTGCGTGGGCGGGCGAGAGAAATGACTCCGCTGTGGCTAGGGCGGGGCAAAACAGTTGTCCGGCCCTCCCCCTCGGTGGGCTGAGGGTTGCTGGGGATGTCCCGCCGTGGTGTCCCGTTGGTGTCCCGTCGATGTCCCATCGGTTTCCCGTCGAATGTGGGATCGAATGTGAAATCAGTCGAGTGAGATCGATAGTAAGATCGATCTTACGAGTAAGATCGATAGTGAGAACGATTGTGAGACTGATTGTGGGATCGATGGCGAGATCCGTGGAATGAGTTCGATTGTGGCACCGATAGTGAGATCGGTTGTGAGATCGATTCAAGTCAGATCGGTAGTGAAATACTGTGGGATCGGTTCAGTGGGCTCTCCTGGTCCCGGTCCTAGCGACCACTCATCGCATTGCAACCACCGCGGCCAGTGCGATCACTACCGCGGCCACTGCGATCATTGCTGCCGCGGCTGCGTCGTCCAAGCAAGCATTGCGCACGGCACCTGCTTCTGCCAGCGGTCGCGGGGGAGGCACGGCGCACCGAGTGCGCGGGGCGGCGCCAGGAAGGCCCAGCGTACGTCGTGGACCTCGCCCCAAGCCGCACGATGTCGGGGCAGCAGTTGTTCGACGCGTTGCGCGTGGTGCCGAAGGTGCCACGCGCGGAGTGGCGTCAGTCCAGAGCCTGCCAGGGTAACGTGGGCAACCACTACACGGAGCGGAAGGTGCTGGTGCTGTGGATGGGCACTCCGCCGAACCCCTGGAATTGGAGCTCGCCGGCGACCAGCGCGCGCAGCCCATGCCGAACCGGACCTGGGCGGTCACGACCTGCCTCAAGGAGCTGCCGGAGGGCATGGGCGCAGAGGCCTGGCGCATCCTGCTCCACGTCGTTCGCGGCGGAGAGCTCCTTCCAGAGCACGAGCGCGCTTTCTGCGTCAGTGCGCCGGCGCAGGCGGTGCACGAAGTGCGGGAAACCCCAGGGCCAATGGATCTACGAGGTGCGAGGTGCCCGCACGCGCCTGAGCGCGCCATGCGCGGGCTGCCACAGAGGACAACCAGACCTAGAACCATCGCATGCGCACGCTTCGCGCGCGCACAGGTCCTGTCTGTCTCGGAGCCTCGCGCATGGCGTGGAAGAAGGGCCACGCCCGAAGCCAAGGGCACCCTGGGTTTCGAGCCGTGTTCCTGCGGCAGCCCCACGCGGCTTTCGCCGCCTCCACACCTTTCCTCGATTCTGCGGAGGAGGGAGGTCGAGAATGGAGGGTCGAGCAGTAGTGAAGAGGGAGGGGGCACAGAGGAAGCAGGATGGAGAAGGCAGGTCCAGAGGTGGGGAGCAGCAGACCAGAAAATGAGGAGGCGAGAAGTGGGAGGGAACGAGGGCAGCTGCAGACGGAGAGGAGGTAGGGAAGAAGGATGGCAGAGGGAACGCGAGGCGCGAGGCAGGTTGACCCCTTCTATTGGCACGACCTCTTGTCGGCGACTCCGCAGGGTGTGGTTTGCAGAGGGCGCGGAGTTGCAGCCCACACCCGTGGGGGCGGGCGAGGACCTTGACAGAGTTCTCCGCCGCGCCCCGAGGAGGCCCGACGAGGGCAACGTGGTGCCCCCCCCCACCCCAACGACGCAACTCGAAGACCACACCCCGGCGCAACCACACCCGCTGTTGTCGCCGACCTTTCGGGAGCGGCCAAGAGGGGGGTGTCCGAGAGGGGGGGGTGCAAATCATGACCGGCGGCATGTGCGCGGCCCAGCGGGGGGGCCAGGGACGTAATGAAACAAGAGGAGGCGCCATAAAATCTGGGGAAATATCATGGCCCCCGCCATGATATCCACCCCCTAGTCGTCACCCCCCTCTGTTCCGCCCCCGACAGGAGGCCCTGCTCCGTGCCGTCCGCTGCCCCGGGCCTCCCGCAGAGGCGCGCAGGCGGGGCTCCTGCTGCTCTGCCCGAGCCGCCGCCTCGCGGAGCAGGACCCTACGGCGCCGGCTCGGGAGAGGAGTGCGCGCAGCGGCTTGGAGGAGGATCAGGAGGAGGAGGATGAGGAGGAGGAGGAGGAGGAATAGGAGGTGGAGGTGGAGGTGGAGGTGGACGGTGGAAAAGAGGGAGGAGGAAGAGGAGGGGGAGGAGGAGGAGGAGGAGGAGGAGGAGGAGAGGAGGGGAGGAGGAGGAGGAGGAGGAGGAGGAGGAGGAGGAAGAGGAGGGGGAGAAGGAGGAGGAGGAGGAGGAGGAGGAGGAGGAGGAGGCCTGGGACGCAGAGGCGCCCGTCCGACCAGATCATATAGTACAGCCATCCTACGGTATAGCGTTACCCCAGCGGTATGGCCAGAGAGCGCCTGCCTCTGAGCATGTACTGTGAGACTTCTGAGTGCGCGCGTCGCCCCTGTGGGGGGGGCGACGCACACATAGTGTAGAAGTACGTTTGGGTGGAATCGGGAAGAAGGGTGGGGGCCAGGATGGGGCGGGGAGGACAAGCCAGACGCGCTCACGCCACACATGACATCCTACCCCTCCCATCCATCCCTTCCCACTGCGTCGAGTACCTTCTCTCCGCCGAGCGGTCCTAGAGCAACTTGACCCCCAGATGGCAACTGCAGGACTTGACCCATCATTTGCTACGCAGTGGGAAAGGGAGGAGGAGGTGGCGAAGCAGGCCGATAAGCTGGAGGAGTGAGAAAAAGGAGCAGGAGTACGAGTGCGAGGACCAGGGGAAGGCGCAGGGGAAGAAGAGAGGGGGGACGGCAGCGAGGAGGAACGAGTCGGCTCCAGAGATGTGGCCCGCGCTGGGGCGAGAGCGCCATTGCGAACGGTGGGAGCACAGCGGCGATCCTGAAATGTGGCCAACGCTGGAGCGGAAGTGCAGCTTTTGAGTGACCAAAGAGACTCGGACAAAAAACATCAAAAAAACATGTGTTATGTTATTTCTTATTT